AGTAGTAGGAGGAGTAGAGTAGTAGTAGAAGCAGTAGCATTACAGTGGCGGCGGTAGACGACAATGACACCGATGATGCCGCTATGCACCTTCTCCTTGCTGCTTCGATCTCAGCTAACTCCAAGCGAGCTGCCAGTCCAACTGCTCCAAGGTCAGGCCGCCTTGGGCATCCTCCAATGGCTTCTCAGACCTGGTGGCCAAGGGAATAACGGATGGCGCACGTGAGCCCGTGAGGCCACCGCCAATGCGGCGTGTCCACGTCTCTACCGGCGATGCCTCGTCAAGATGCTCTGCGAAGGTGCTGAGGCGACATGCATCTACCGCTAAGAATGCGGCTGATGTCCTGCAGTTCCTGAGCCGTAACGACAGAGCTCCTCATCTCGCTCCCCTGCTGTGTTGAGGCTGGGACTTCAGGAACGCCCAGCCCTGTAGATGGGGGAACCTGTCCCAAAGCTCCCAGCGGATTGACACAAGCTGCGCCAGAGGGCACCTCCACTTGGCCAGGGGTCGCGGCCCTGACAAGGCTTTCATGCTCTCTCAGAGTCTCAGAAGCTGCCGAGCCGGAGGAAGAGCATTTAGGGATCTCCTAACAAGGAAATTTTTACAGAATTGGTACTTAGTATCTCTTAGGCTTGCTGCCTGGTTCTGGTCGCACCAGAGTAGCCACGGCCCCTTCTGCCTTGCACCTGGGGCCACACGGTTCTTATGGCAATGATCCTACAGTCTAGGGTCTGAAGTGTTTACGTAATTTCTCAGGAGGGGGGAGGAGGAGGAGGAGGAGGAGGAGCAGGAGGAGGAGGAAGAGGAGGAAGAGGAGGAGTAGGAGGAGAGCTGCAGAGGTAGGATGCTGATCATACTTCTAAGTCTTGTGAGTCCCCTTAGATCTTGCTATGGCCAAAATCGTCATGGATGCTGATTGGGAGGGTCAACGTTGCCATCGATGCTGTCGGAATAGTATTGATGATTATACTAAGGATGACATTTTGTCATTCGAAGTCCCAACCGGTCACCTCTCAAATCATTGGCTCTTCATGTAACCTGGCTAGCTGCATGCGGCACGACATGCGCGCTGACGAGTTGCCGGGACGTGTGACCGAGATAAGATCACGGCCAGCAGTATGGCAGCTGCGGCCGAAATTGCCGCTCTCCCTGAGCTGCCTGAGCCTGCATGGATGCACAAGATTAAAGATTCACGACATGCACATCTCAAGCTCAACAACTTCAGCCTAGACTTCCTGAAAAGATAGGGCATGGTAGCTTTTGGAGCTCTCTGCAGCTGTGACATGTTGTGACACATGATGTTATTGGACAATCTGCAGGACCTCCGCCCAGACAAACATCAAAATCTTGCAAGTCCGTGTGACTTGCACTCAGAAACAGTTTGCATGCTGTCGGCAAACCTCACCCCGTGGTTGCCTCGGCATAGTCCTGCTAGTATTGCAATGGTGCCGCAGAAGGATAGTATTGGCCCGGCAGCGGCTGCATGCCGGGCACGGAGGGAGACACGTACGGTGCTGAGCTAGCATACTGCACGGCAGGAGTGTATGAGTACGGCTTGGCTGGAGGAGTGTATGAGTACTGCTTTCCTGGAGCCGGTGCATATGCTGCCGGTGGCGTGAATGACAAGGGTGCAGCCGGCGGGAATGGCGAAGGCGCCGCCATCGGGCCTGGATTGCTCAGTTCCTGTGCCGGAGCAGCATAAACCATCCCTGGCTGGCCAGGTGTGGGTACAGGCGCTGCAGCTGCAGCCGGTGCCGGAGCCGGTGATGACTTCATGGGTGCAGCATAGACTGGCACTTGTTGGGGCTGGGCTGCGGGGACTTCTGGCGGTGGCATGAAGGATGCTGCTGGGGTGGCTGCCGGCGCTGCGTACACTGCTCCGGCTGGCGGAGCCCCCGCTGGCGGTGCGCCCGCTGGCGGTGCGCCCGCTGGCGGTACGCCCGCAGGTGGTAGGCCAGCACCGTCCCCAAACTGGAACGGAGCTTGAAGCGGCGGCATGAAGCTCAGCTGCTGCCCATAGGAATATGGTTGGGATGGAGCCATGAGCGGCGGAGTGAAACTCGGCTGCTGTGGCTGAGCCAGTGGCCACTGCTGGGCAGGCGAAAAAGACGTCGCTGCAGTTGGGGCCACCATATCATTCCCGAGCGGTTGCGCAGCTGCCGAAAAGGGCTGCGCCGCAGGGATGTACCGTACCTGCTCGGGCTGCTCTGGCATGTAATTGGAATAGTTCACAACCTGCGGTGTCAGCGCAGACATGGCTGACACGGCTTGGGCGGGTTGCATGGCCTGCACTGGCTGCGGGGCACTGGCACTTGTAGTGCTTGGAAGGTTCTGGTACACGGGCGCGGCTGTTGTGGTGGCTGGCACAACCTGTGGTTGCTCTGCCGGTGGGGCCTCAGAGTATGTAACCGCCGGGTATGTCGTGGCCGGCGGAGGGTATGTTGTGCTCGGAGGCATGTAGGTCGAGTAGGAAACAGGTGCAGTCGTGTAGGACTGAACACCTGCCTGGTAAGGTGCCAGCGGCTGTGCCGTCGAGTAGGCAGAAATCGTGGCAGGAACCGTAGGAGGGGCATAGTCGACCATAGGTTGTGCCTGCATCGCGCCGAACGGGCTGCCCGACAGGCCACCCAATGGAGCATTCAAGGCACTCACTGGCTGCGGCTGTCCCGAAATCACTTGCTCTGCACCCTCAGGTCCAGTTGCAGCTGCCATGGGCAGCGAATAAGGCGAGTAGCTCACTGGCTGCGGGGCAGCTGCAGAAATTGCCTGTGGCGCACTCAAGTATTGCACTGGCTGCGGCTGTCCTGAAATCACTTGCTCTGCACCCTCAGGTCCAGTGGCAGTTGTCATGGGCAGCGAGTAAGGCGTGTAGCTCACTGGCTGCGGGGCCACTGCCGAAACTGGCTGCTGCACACTCAAGTATTGCATTGGCTGCGGCTGCTCTCCTGGCATAGCCAACATAGGCGAAGCATAGGAAATCGCGGATGTTGGGGCCAGGCCTGGATATGCGACACCATTTGGTGATTGCCCCGTGGTCTGACTTGCTGAGGCAACTCCCTGCATAGGTGCCATCGCAGTAGCTGCGAATGGAGCCATGAAATCATTCATGAACATCGGCTGGGCTGGCTGGGCTGGCTGGGGCTGCATGGTGTAAGGTGATTGGGCACTCAAGTACTGCACCGGAGCTGAAGTGAGAGCCGGTCCAGTTGAGAAGTATTGTCCCGGATCCATGGGAAGGGAACCCATCCCAGTCCCTGGCACAGCCGCAGGATTTGCTTGGCCGATCACCGCCATGGCAAAGGGCTGTACAGCGTCTCACTATCTTTTTCAGCCCAAAAGCTTCCCCAAAGCATGCAAGGATACAAGGCCACCATGCAATGCACCCGAAAAGCGCGCTGTCTGCACACAGAGCAAGGTGCGAGCCTGAGCCGGACGGGCTGCTCGTCGTCCTGCAGGCGGATGTCTGTGGCTCAAGGTCTCTATCCCTAACCTTCCAGGTACCTACTATGTAGGGCCCTAGGGGCTCTAGTACCCTATTTAGTAGGTACCTGGGGGGTTAGGGTATTTCCCGAGTGCCGAGCATGGCCTCACGACGCTTCCTCCCGCTCCCGGCTTAATGGAGCCGGCTGCAGGGGTTGTCGCGGCATGGCCTGCACTGGCGTTCTCATCAAACTCCGATACGGAGATGCGGATTTCGGGGAAGGGCATCTTCACTCGCAACTTCAGTCTTACCCCCAATATCTTCTAGGTCTGCCTTGTCTTTCTCCGGCAATCCTCTGGGTACAAGGAGGTGAAACATCGATGAAACAAAAACAAAGGCGCTGCATAGCCTTATTACTTATTGCCCTATGTGATTATGTGATGGGTTATCTAAACGATGACCAAACCCAAGTCTAATCATTAACGTCCCTCTACGATCACCCTCATACCAGCAGCTTTCCAGAAACCCTTCCAGAGCCCTCCTGTTAACTTGTTCAGGTCTCTATGCTCAGTCCCACTATTCTGCACGCAGTATCCGACCGCCTCTGCCATGTTCTAGCACTGTTTCGACGAAGGCCGGGCAAAAAGCTAGTGGGGATGAGAAGCACAGAGTGAAACGCCAAGATCTGCAGTGATGACTGAGATCCAGTCACTTCTGAACACTTCCGAGACGAGGGAGGGCCAATGCTACTCGCTTCTGGCAAAAGGACCATTCAATCATTCGATCTCGCCTTACGAATCCAGGGAACAAAGTACTCATCACCTCATCCATTCGAGCAACCATCGGAAGAACTTGCAATTGCCACGCCACGTGCAGCGTCAGGAGAAGAGGATCCGGTATGACTCAGTAGAGCATCTGCACCTCCGTGGCCGCGTGCTGCTTCTGCCACGCAGGCCACGGAAGGGATGCGTGCAGTTGCGTCCAGCTCGTTGCAGATCGGCCAAGATCCGTGGAAGCTTGAGGGGGCTTCTGAAGTTCGGACACGGTGCAAAGATGAAAATGGCCTCCGATATGCCATTTCCGCCCTTGCGGAGGGCGCTCCCCTGCGCGCGGCCGCCACGTCCTGGAACTCGGAGTTGAAGAGTCCGAGTCGGCACCGCGATGGCGTCAATGTCTGTTGAAGCTGGCGCCGATTACTGAAGTCATCCCATGTCCAGATCCATCCTCGGCGGTTTGGCGTTCAAAGCATCCTGCAAAAGGACCCAGCCGAGGGTGTGGCCATCGCTCGATAGGCAGCCAGGACGCCTCTGCACCCAACAAAAACACATCTCTCAAGCCGCGGAGCCCCGAGAAGAGGCTCCTGCCTGTTGCGTTGAGATCCACGGCCACCAGTCCCTCGACTGGAAAATGCGTGAAGGTAGATGTGGAACCAAGCCTGGCAACAGCTGACCTGCAGTTCTTAACCATGCCGATGCCCTGAACTTCTCCACTGAGGCGAGGGACCCCAAGGCGAAGGGCCTGCCGTTGAAATTCTCAAATACGCTGACCTGAACACAAGCAGAGGGGGAGGCAATGCGCTTTTCATTTAAGAATCGGGGCTCTCCTTTCGGGGGCCTCCTGCGCCTTCGCGACCCCGCCGTCTGCTTCGTCCCGATAGACGACCATGGCCTGGAATTGAAGGACGGATCACCCCTAAACCCAAACGCGTAGCTCAATGACTTTCTCGTCCTTTCCTTGTCCGCGGAAAGACGCACCTCGGATTGCCCGACAGCGGACAGACACCGGCGATGGAGGGTCGACTGATCCCATGAGGCTCCAGCGAGGCTCACGTCATCCATAGAATCTCTGAGAGGCAACTCCTTGAGCAAGACAGTGTCGGTATCTTCAGGAACCCTGTCCTGCACATGCTCCGGGACTTTTCTGAGCTTGGAACGGCCACGCGCATGGCCTCACCTGCACTCTGGAGCCTCACGAGGACCACCTGAACGACAGAGGGCACTGCGCTGCAAAGGGGAATCCCAGTCCTGGCCTGTCCTTTGGCGCCATGGACCGGAGCAAAAACCACCAGTGCCTACCAGACGGGGGCCGAGAGGTCTGGGCTTTTCGGTAGCTTGCCGGCTCTCCGCACCGTGGAGTCGGTCAATCCGCACGCAGACATCCGCCGGTAAGTAGCCCTGTAGGAGCTATTGGTTTCGTTGCCCTCCTCGGAACAAGACTGGGCCATGAATAGCCGCCCATTTCTGGGCAGTCTTCAGCTTCTGGAATTTGCAAGTAAGCGCGCTGCATCTGTAGCATGCGAGAGATTGCTCCCAGTCCTCAAGTCTCAGGAGTGTCTTTCCTCAAACTCTGAAGGGCCTTCAGGCAGACAGAGCCAAGTACAGACTCCCAGCACCGATGTACTCTACATCTCCGACGACGGCCTCATCCTGCGCATCCACCTGCTTTCTTTGGGGCACAACCGTAAAGCTGATGGGGGGCTCTTCAAAGCCCTGAGATTCCTTTGGGAGGGAGGTGAGAGGCTGAAAGCGGATGAAAGCGACCTTGCCTGGACGGCCCTGGCCTGCAAGGAACCGGACAAAGAGAGTTAATTCGGCGAAAACGGAGCAGCCTCAAGGAAAGAAAAACCGGCCTGCACGGTTGCTGTCGCCTCATCGTCGTAGAAGACCACGGCCGCCGAGTCGGAGAGGGCCGCAACAGCCACGTGGCTCGTCCTGTTTTGAGGAAACTGGCGCTTCTCAACAAGCAAAGACTCTTGAAAGAAGCTGAGAGTCATGCGCATTTGAATTCACCACCTTTGACAGGGCTTTCTCGTGGCAGAGCAACCCGTGCATTCAAGCAATTACTGTTCGTCGGGACTGCCGGGAGAACCCTCAGCTACACTGGAAGAAAAGTGGACTCACTGAGCCAAAAATAGCTCCCTGTTTGCTCTGCATTTGCACACACGTACATTGTAAAAGTGAAGCGATGATCTTATGTTCTTTCACTCAGGACCGGCGGCACGGATGCCATGGCTTGTCGTGGAGTAGAGGGGAGGGCCCCCAGTGCGCGCCTTTCGCTCGTTCTTTCTTCCTCGCCTGGCTGTCTTCTGCCAACTGTTCCATCGTTCCCTGTCGTCGCTGTCGGTTCCTCTCTTCTCTCTCGTCCCTATTTCGTCACGGGTTTGGATTGCGCCCCCTCCCCCTTACAAGTCAAGGAGTTTGGGAAGTAGAAAAGCCTGGACAAGACGCAAACAAGCAGAGGAAAAAGGATGGGACCCGGCCTGTTTGAGTCCCAGCGTGATGCTCCAATGGTCCGGAAGGTGGTGCGACACAGAGACGACTGCAACCTCTGGGCCCAACAGAAGGCGTTACAAAACGGGCCATGACAGCCTCCCGGGTCACTGGCGGTGCCGTGCTGTGAAGGGCCATTTACGAAGGCAGCCAGCAAGCGGGTGGCAGAGAGTCTTGCCACCTGCACATCAGGACAGCGTCAATCGGAGTTGGGTCAACTTTGTGCATTGCTGGGCTTAACTGCAGATGCAGGTAGAACCTGCACCAAGATGTTCCTCATTGTTCGGGAGTCTTAGGCTCCCGGACTGGAGACCGAGCGCAAAACCTAAAAACTTCGTGTGCCTGTCCGCAACTTGCGCTGATGGGCAGCTGCGGACGAATTTGTGTCTATGTGCCCAATCAGGAATGTACTCTGTATACTCGCGGCATGGTAGTGAGCCACCATGCAACTTCCCGTCCCCAACAGGCTCGACCAGATCTACAGACACGCAGTAAGTGCATTCAGCAGATCAGTTTGCACCTTCAAGGACTGCACCGTTGCGCGACTGGCATATGCGCAGGCCTCGGCGTACACCAAACAAGAAAACGTGTTGGCAGAGATTTCGAACACGTTGCAGATGCATGCAGATGCTGCAGCTGCCCCCAAGACTCCCAAGGTCCCCCAGGCACCGCCAGCACCAGCAGTTGTCAGATCCGGACAGCCAGCGGGTCCACAGTCACGCAGGGGCGGAAGCCATCCTGGCCGAACTCGGCCAGAAGCGCTTTCTTTATGGCGCCCTACACGGTTTAGGGTTTTAGGGTTTAGGCTTAAATCTGGGCCTCCCAGTCTGCCAAACTCTGCGGGGGCATCTGCCCAAAGTGCTGAGCAGCTCGCCGCGCTTGCCATGTCGGCCTGGGGCCCGGCCGCAAACAGCCAAACCTCCTCGATGCTTCCTGCTTTCTTCTTCCCTCCCTCGTGGTATCTCGAGACCCTAAACCCTAAACCCCGAAACTGAAGGGAAGTGCTGGGATCCTGACGCAGCTTGGGGCCCAGTCGGCTGAGCCTCTCCACGCAGGGAGCCGATCTCCAAAACCATCCGAAACAGCCGGTGCTTTTAGTCTTGGTCTTCAGCGGACCTTGAGCAGCATCAGGTTCCCAGGGTGCTTCTCCGGGCTGGAGAGATCCCGGAATCCTTGGGGCACATGCTTACAGGATCCCTGCATCCGACACCAGGCAGAGCTTCAGTCCTGCAAGCAGCACGTAGTCCGTGTGCTTCGACGTGAAGTCGCCTCGTTCGTACGGCAACGAAGAGACCTCTTCCATGACTTCCAAGGCACATCTCAGGCGCCGGCAGGCCCCAACGCAGTCGTAGAGGCCTTGTGCCAGGGGCTCACGTGTTGTGAGCGCCACCGCTGTAAGATCGTCGGAAGGCCGCTCATGGAAGACGTAGCTTCCGAAAGGAAGGGCTCGGTCGGATCCATCGACTTGGAGTACTGCACCGGCAGCGTGCCCGGCCATCTGGCAGCAATCGTAGTCCTGCCACTCCATCAGCGACCCTGTCAAACGATTGCTTGTAGCAGGTGTATCTGACGGGTCAGAGAATAGAGCCAGCAGCTTGTGGCTGGTCTCCTCACTGTCAAAGCGCACCAAGCCAACACTTCCGACACGATGCTCAAAGAATGGAGTCGGCTGCCAGTACATGGGATAGTCGACCTCGTAGGGGAACTCGGTTCCAGACGCATTGGCTGGATTCGGCCCCCAGCATACCCTGAATCCAAATGGCGGCGCCATCGAGCTTGCATATCCCAGTATGTAGAGTCCCTGTGCGCTGCTGGCTCCTCCAATAGGTTGCACTCCGGCCGGGTTTGTTAGCTCACTAATGTCTACTACCTCTGCCGAGGCATCCCCACAACGACTCGGGTTGGTGACCAGCAGCACGCCGCTAGAAGGCACGATGCCGGAGCCAATGATGGTTACTGTACACAGCCTTCCCAAGACGCAGTCCACAATGGCAGTCAGTCGAATCCAGAAAAAGTCTGGATCAATTTCTACTCGATACAATGCTGAATCTGTGAGCGGATAGATCGTGCCGGAAGCCTCTGCGACTGGATTGTGCGCCCAGCATATGCGATGCGATGCTCCCGACTTCCCTCTGGCAATTCCGAAGGAGTAGAAGTTGTTGCTGCGCAGGTCGTCCTGGCTCACTGCCGTGGGATTCGGGATGGACCAGGCGCTGTCCAAAGCTGGGAGCCCTACATCTCCGCATCTTCCAGTGGCTGTCTCAATGAGAAGCACCATGTTTGTTGGGCTGAGCCCGATGCCGCTGATGTTGATCGTGCAAGGGAAATGCAAGTAGCACTCGAAGTCCATGGCAAGGGGGCCCAGCATCATGAAGAAGCCCGCTTCCACAGGGTATTGCTCTTCTTCCAGCGTCTGATTGGGCGGATCGTGTCCCCAACAGAGCTTGTAGACCCCCGGGCCAGGCTCCTGCAGAGTCACGGCGGCTGTGGAGCCCCGGGTGGGGCGGCCCAGGTCCCAGGTATGGACTGGTCGGTAGGTGGCCTTGTGGCCATCAGATCGGCTGCAGCCGTCTTTCGGGTTCACGAGACCCTCGAAGGCTGCCAGCGAAGGATACTCGAGCCTGGAGGCACAGGGGCTCGACATCCGACCGACCTTGAGACCATTCTCGTTTCGCAGTGAGGTTCCGTTGAGCAGCACCGAACATGCCTCCCCCAAAGTACAGAAGACTTCTCCAACGAGGTCACAGGCATAGAGGTTGTAGCCACATACAGGGGCGGATGCATTGGTGATTTGCACGACGGAGGGGAATTGCAAGCTGCTGAATTTGAGGCCGGCGGCATACTGCAGCATCTCCTCGTAGATTGGGGCATGTGACGTGAATCCTGTTGCATCGGCTTGCCAGGAGTGGCCGAGGGTGAGGTACAAGGCCACAAGCCTGGCGGGCTCTGGGCCCATGCCAAGCACGATCCCAGCCAAAGACGTGAAATCGCCGTCTGTGTCACAAGCAACACTGCTCTGACCCGGCAAGTCCACGAGATCCGACAGGCAATAGCATGCCTTGTAGAATCCATGGGTCTCGATGGTCAAAACCTCTTCGGCGCATCCGCAGGTTTTGCCTCCCTTGATGATCCTCACTTGCAGGCCTGGTGCGAAGGTGCAGTTGGTCCCCAAAGGACACACGAAGTAATTCAAAGGACCGGCAAGAGAGACCACCAGGGTAGGGCTGACGGCAATCTCTAGGATGCGAGCTATCTGTGACTTCAGGGCATGTGCATCTGGTGACTTCTGCAACTCTCCAGATGAGAAGGAGAAGCTTGCATCTGCCGTTGCTTCTGCATACCGCTGTACCCACGGGTTTGCCTGAAGCTCTGTGCTGTTCGCACATGTAAGCCAGAGCTTGCCACTTCCCGGCAGATCAGGCAACAACCATCCTCCAATACCGAAAGCAGTGGCTGCACAATCGATGGCTGTCCCACCGTCTGAGCCCTCGACGAAGCTGACATTGACTCGGAGCGTGACGCTACATCTGTCGCCCGACGTCGTGTCGCCTCCGATTCGACCAAGCGTGCGCAAGAGGCTTTCACCACCTGCAGTAATGCCAGCACTGACATATCCATCTTCCGGATCCGACTCCAACTGCCCAACCTTGGCTTGACTTGCGACTTGCGACCCTCTCATGCTGCAGAAGTGCTTTGTTTCGTTCGGCTGCCACTGGCAGCCGTGCAGGTGCAGCGCCGAGAACCGCACGTGCCCACTAATGTTCTCGATGAGCAGTGTCCACTCCACTGCGCGCCGAGACACCTGCGAGACCAGGAGAACTCAAACAGAAAGGCCATTGCGACACGTCGTCCAGAAATCTCTGGCGCTCTGGCTCTGGAGGTTCACAAAATAGCCGGATTCACACTGCGCACACGTCGATACGGCAACTCCAGGCTGACCCGACAAACTACCACTGTACCGGAAGGCAAGGATGTCAGGGGAACTGCTCAACAACATAGCTTCACGGAACTTTCAAAGGCAAAGGGCCTTCGATCCCACCATATATATGTAGTGTCATCACCAACACGCAGGATCTCTGGAAAAGCCCGTGCTACAGTTGCAGACTTCGCTACACTGGCGTGTGCGACTGTCAGCATGCCATGTCCGACTCCTACCACGGAAGGGTCCTTGCTGGAGTGAACTCCAAGCTAGATACCTTCAGATGCCCCAATTGCCAATTCAAACACCGAGGCGCCCTAAACCACAGCAGCGGGGCGGTGATGACCTCCGGTAGGATATAGAGCCTCCGGCAGGCTTCGTCCTACCAGGGTCTTTTTTTACCTCTAGCGGCCCGTTTCTTGGGCTGTTTCTCGTCCTTGCTCGGATGTTTGAGGGCTCACAGTTCCCGAAAACCCTGCCTCGACTGGCGGTGAAGGACCTCGGAACTCCGACCGGGGCTTGGGTGTGGGGCTGTTTGTGTTTGGGGGGGGGGGGGGTAATTGGGCTTCGGAGTTGGGGTTGAGGGTTCCGGGGTGCAGGATTCAAGGATCTAGGGTTTTGGGGAGTTCGGGAGCTCGGCGCTTGGTGGTGGGGGGGGTGGGGGGCGAATGTGGCTGCTGCACTTGGCTTGGCAATGAGCTCAGCTGCTCGAGTCTTAAAGTCTTAAACAGTCCTGCAGTCCGCAGAGCTCACGCGGGGCTCAGGCGCAAATGCATACCAAGACACCACCCATTCGTTGCCCAAGCAGTCGAAGGTGACATTTGGGGCAACATCCCACACCTGCCTGGATGCAATGGGTCAGCAGTGGGGGAAGGCCTTCTGCGAGCTGGTGCGCCGACTGTTCAAAGCCACGCACCCATTCCAAGCCAGGCAGGGCGAAGTGAGCAGGTGTGGATCCGAAGCTGCGCCAACCTCACGCTTCAAACGCATGGATGGACATCACTTCGCATGCGGTAGTGGGCGCCGACGCATCGGATAGCACCGTAACCACCCTCTTGGATGGCAGGGCTGACCCACCTCATGCAAGCTGCACACGACTATCGGGACCGCAAGCGGACTGTTGGTGCTCAGCTGGGTACCAACTTGCACTGGCATCGTCAAAGTACATGATACCGCCTGGTCCAGCGAGCACTTGGGTGCACAACTCAATTCTTGAATCCGCGCTCCTGACGAGTCCCTGTACACAGAGCGGCCGTAGAGAGTCTCACCATTCCTGCATGAAGTGCTGTACAGAAGACAAGCGAACAGCGAACAGGCATGCGCTGGGCCTTTGTGCATAGGTGCCATCGCCCATGGCCTGATAGTCCGGTGCGCCAGCGAGGATGCACCGCCGCACCCTGCGAGCCAGCAAAGCACAGCTGGCCGTGACAGAAACACCGCCTCTGCAGTATTCTGCAGTGTCCTGGCCTGTCGTTGGTGCCTTCCAGAACCCACCGGGACGGGGCATTCACTGAACTGTTGTAGGGCATCGAGAAGGAAAACCTCAGGATCTCGCCGGCTCGGAGGAGACAAAATATCACAACAATAATAATAATAATGGCAGTAACAATAGTAATGCGTAATAACAAACAGTAGAAAATATAGCAAAAATTAATAATTATCGCGATAATATCAACAGCAATAGTACTGCCCAACACGACGAGGCTAGCAGCTAGGGTGTCACCGCCACAGGCCGTGAGATATATGCACGCAGCGGGGAGTGCAGTAACTTGCACTGCAGGGTTTGGGGTTTAGAACCCTAAACCCTAAACCCTAAAGCAAGCATGGATCGGACTCGCTGACTGATGGCATCTTGTCGAGACTCAAACCGAGCGGGAGCCCAGGCGAAGTCTGAAGGAACGAAAAAGCCGCTCTTTTAGGCGCAGGCTCGTCAATGAAGATCGGTGCCGTAAAGTCCACCAAGATTGCTCCATTGCGGAGCTGTGGATCCTTGTTTTTACGCAGCTCTCACGACTCAAAAAAGGTGGATCCCTGCCCAGGCCCTAGGCAGACAGGTCGTTGAGAAAGTAGGTCGTCGCTGAGGATAGATCAATCTGGCACTCAACATGCACCGTGAATGGCTAGCAGCAAACGGGGGGTTTCCGAAAATAGGGGACCCTAATATAGCACCCTAAACAGTAGGATCCTTATTATGAGGACCCCAAGATAAGGTACCCCCTAATTTTCGGAAAGTCCCAAATGGAACTTCGAAAGCATGGGCCTCCGCCTCCTGGTAACGGAAGCGAAGCTCGTTGACGGCGCACCATGTGTTGTTACAGGTGGGTGTGAAGCGGATGTGTCCTCAACACGAGGATCGCTAGTTAGATCCAAGCAACGGAGATGTTGCGAGGCTCTGGGCTTCAGACGGTACGGCATGTCGTTAGGGGCGTCCAGCTCTAAACCCTTGGCTGGCAAAGAGGATCTAAGGAAAAGTTCCAAGATTATAATCTCCCGCATGTGGCATTAGTAAGGTCTGCACATAAAGGCTCGAATCTCCGCCACCGATGGGTTGCGCTGTGAACAGAACCCGCCTCCCGGGGCTCATGCTGCCACCTTCTACATTACCACTCAGTTGAAGCTCTATCCCTTATCTTTATCTTCTCATTTGGAGCTCATTTTCTGGAAGCTCCCAGAAGTCATCTTAGTGTCAGCAGCACTGCTGGAGACTGGCCCTGGAGGACTGAAGAGTGGCTGCAGCTGCTAAGAAGGCCTTCTCCTGCCTGTTCTGAGTGGAAGCATGCTCTACAGTACAGTACCAACTGTATCAACGACCTTCTGGCATCCCTGTGTACTCTAATCTCTTCTAAACTCTAAACTCTAAGGCCGAAACCGTAAACCTGTCAACAAGGCTTCCATCTCTACGGCCTGTCTTGGTCAAAGGTGAGCACCGGCGCAGCCCCCGGCTCCACTGCAGCATCGTCCACGGTGTGGCCCGGGTAGCTCGCGGAGTCCACGAGCTGCGAAACAGGGTTTAGGGGTGTTTTGGGTTCAGGAGTTATTGCCAGCACTGGTCCTTCTCTTGCTACTGGTCTGCCTTTCATTGCTCTGTTTATTGGGCTTATCGCCCTCTCTCTGCTTATGGTACAGCCCCCATGATTACTAATATTACCCTGACGGAATGTGAGGACATGGCGAGAGAGACATCTCCCTGAGGCTGCTGCCAGCTGCACCGGGTGCCTGGCACAGCTCACCAGCAATGACAACAAAAAAGACATCTGGCAATGATGATGATGATGATGATGCTGGTGCTGGTGCTGGTGCTGGTGCTGGTGCTGGTGCTGGTGCTGGTGCTGGTGCTGGTGCTGGTGCTCGTGCTGGTGCTGGTGCTGGTGCTGGTGCTGGTGCTGGTGCTGGTGCTGG